CATCATCCAAGGCTCCAGTTCCATACGAGGCTCCAGAGCCATCATCCAAGGCTCCAGCGCCATACGAGGCTCCAGAGGCATCATCCAAGGCTCCAGCGCCATATGAGGCTCCGGAGCCATCATCCAAGGCTCCAGCATTATCAGAGACTCCAGCACCATCATTGATGGCTTGAGTAACGTCCGAGGCTCCAGTGCCATCTGAGGCTCCACTACCACGGGAGGCTCCAGTACCACGGGAGGCTCTAGTACCACGGGAGGCTCCAGTGCCACGGGCAGCTCTAGTACCACGGGAGGCTCCAGTGCCACGGGAGGCTCCAGTGCCACCCAAGGTTCGTTTCTTATCCGAGGCTCCAGGACTGTCCGGGGCTCTGTCGTTGTTCCCGTGAGAGCCCCCAGCGGCTGCCCCGGCCTGATCCACAGCATGCCCCGCTTTTCTCCATGTCACCTTCCCCGAGTCCCGGGGCCATCGTGCGGTGGACCCTTGGTAGAGGGGCACGGCCACCCGGCCCGGGAGCAGGTTCTGGTACCTCTTCAGGAGGTCCTGGCTCAGCATGGGGCTGGGCTGGTAGGCCAGTTTTGTCTTTCTCTGCTGGTAATGAGGCACAGGGTTGGGGCAGGGCCAGCCCCAGGTGGCAGCCAGGGGGATCGGGATGGGCAGGAGAGGGTCCCCCTGGGACTGGAGCCGCCCGCCGGCAGACACGTGCACAGGCCTGTGGGGGGGTCAGGGAGAGCAGTCAAGGGGGAGACCAGGCCATGCTTGTGGGGCTCCCCCACCTCTTCCTGATGGGGTGTGATCGTGACACTGGCCTACACCCCAAGTGAGCAAGGAGTCCTCCCCACCTCGCTAACCCGTTGGTCCACTGCCCCCAACACCATGATCACAGGCTTTTAGTGTGGTCAGTTGTGGGGCTTGAACTCAGGGCCCCGGGGTGCCGTCCCTGAGCTTTTTTTTGGGGGGAGGGGGTCCGGTCGTGGGGCCTGAACTCTGGGCCTGGGCGCTGTCCCTCAGCTCTTCAGCTCAAGGCTGGCGCTCTACCACTTGAGCCACAGCACCACTTCCAGGTTTTTCTGTGTAGATGGCACAGAGGAATCCAACCCTAGGACTTCACGGACGCTTGGCGAGCACTGTAACACTGAGCCACCTGCCCAGCCCCATCCCTCAGCTTATTTTTTTTTCTTTTCTCAAAGCTGGTGCTCTACCACTTGAGCCATAGCTCTACTTCCTGGTGGTTAACTGGAGGTAAGAGTATGATGAGCTTTCCTTGCCCAGGCTGGCTTTGAACCTTGATCCTCAGATCTCAGCCTCCCCAGTAGCTAGGATTTTACAGGTATGAGCACCAGGTGCTGGGTGGAGCCCAAGATTCTTGTCTAGGTTATTATTATTATTATTATTGAGGGGGAAGGAAGGTCAATCCTGGGGACTTGAACTCAGGGCCTACACATTGTCCCTGCGCTTCTTTTGCTCAAGGCTAGCGCTCTACCACCTTGAGCCACAGCGCCATTTCTGGTTTTCTGGTGGTCCATGGGAGATAAAGAGTCTCACGGACTTTCCTGCATGGGCTGGCTTTGAACCGGGATCCTCAGATCTCAGCCTCCTGAGTCGCGGGGATGACAGGCGGGAGCTGCAGGCATCTGGGCCTTCTCTAGGATCTCGCTAGCTTTGAAGCCTCACCTTGTTCCACTAACGTACTTCCTGTGGCAAGACGGCTGAGCTCAGCACGCAGCTGACTGGCTTCCTCTTCCAGATTCGCCTGCGGTATTAAATTGAACAGGAGGGAAGTGATTGGTTTAACAGAGAAATTGGAAGCTGGGCGCCGGTGGCTCCCGCCTGTCATCCAAGTGGCTCAGGAGGCTGAGATCTGAGGATCGTGGTTCAAAGCCAGCCTGGGCAGGAAAGTCCGTGAGACTCTGATCTCCCATAAACCACCAGAAAACTGGAAGTGGCGCTGTGGCTCAAGGGGTAGAGCGCCAGCCTGAGCTGAAGAGCTGAGGGGCAGCACCCAGGCTCAGAGTTCAGGCCCCATGGTTGACAAAATCAAAGATAAAATGGTCAAATAGCTTTGCCATACTCCATCTGTACATTTGTGGTTGTTTGTTGGTTTTTTGTGGGCCATGGGGCTTGAACTCTGGGCCTGGGCTCTGAGCTCTTCAGCTCAAGGCTGACGCTCTACCCCTTGAGCCACAGCACCACTTCTGGTTTTCTGGTGGTTCATGGGAGATGAGAGTCTCGTGGATTTTCCTGCCTGGGGCTGGCCTTGAACTGTGATCCTCAGATCTCAGCCTCCTGAGTAGCTGGGTTGGCAGGCGGGAGCCACCGGTGCCTGGCTATGACTGTGCATTAAAACTATGCATGAGGGGGTTTTGAAAACAAAACTCCCAGAGGGCTCAGGTAGAGATGGGGGCAAGGGAAATTGACTGGCAGGTGTGAGGCCCTGCATCTGTATCCACGACCTCCAGGACATATAATCATAATAGTATAAAAATACCAGGGCCAGGTACTGTGGCTGACACTTGTAATCCTAGGTACTTGGGGAGATGGAGATCTAGGGATTGAGGTTTGAAGCCAGCCCAAGCCCTCCAACCCCCCACCCCCCACCCCCGCAAATAAAGAAGTTCATAAGACTCCATCTCAAACAGTGACGGGTCATGGTGGCACATCCTTTAATCCAGCAGCCCCATGGGAAGCACAATATATGAGGATTGTAGCCCAGGCTAGTCTGGGCATAAAGACACTAGGTTAAAAGTAACCAGGGCGGGGCTGGGAAGGTGGCTCATGGGTAGAGCGCTCGCCTAGCATGCATGAAGCCCTGGGTTCGATTTCTCAGCACCACAGACACAGAGAAAAGCGGACGCGGTGCGGTGGCTCAAGTGGTAGAGCGCCAGCCTTGAGCCAAAGAAGCTCAGGGACAGCGCCCAGGCCCTGAGTTCAAAACCCAGGACTGGCAAAAATAAAAATAAATAGATCAGATGACCGTAGGTGTGGTTACCAGCTTCCACAGCAGAAGAAACAGGGATCAGAGAGAGTTAGAAGGGACCCCAGGTACAGACATGGGAGAGATTACCCCCCCACACACACACCAGGAAGACTCCCCCTGTCTTACTTCTTGTAGCCTGTAGGGGGCAGGATGTTGCCCTGGGTGTCCAGCGGGGGCGCCCTGACCTCGCTCCTCAGCTTGAGCTTCTGCCCCTCCCTCAGCTCCTTGGCCGCACGGTCCAGCACCTGCTTCTTTCTGTTGGCGTCCAGGAAGATGGGCCTGGACTGGATGAAGGTGGGGAAGGTATTGGGGCCCAGGATGGAGGGAGGGGGCACTGGGGTGCTGGCGGGGGAGCAGGGCCCGCTCCTGGTCAGCCAGCGCCACATGTTGCTGTCGTAGACTTTGTCGGGCCGGGAGGGCAGGGTGAGTGGCAGGCGCCCCACGTCCAGCCACGTGTGGAAGCCCCACGGGTGCTGCGGGGGGCCGTCCCTCCTGGGGCTCGCCAGGTACTGGCGCATCTTGCACTTGATCTCCAAGTGCGGCAGCTGCCTGGTGGCCAGCCGGTGGTAGCGTTTCGGGGTGAAGCCGGGTATCTGCAGCTCTTGTCTGGGGAGCAGGAACTCGCGTTGAGCCAGGGTTTGGGGGACCTGGCGGGGTTCGATGGTGTGGACCTTCTAAGGAGAGACAGACAGAAAGGACGCTGGGAGGTCTTCCCTCCCTCCCTTCCTCCTCCCTCCCTCCCTCCCTCCCTTCCTTCCTTCCTTCTTCCCTCCCT